ATGAGAGTATAAAATTTTAGGTAAACCATACTTTGTTTACATATACTTCATGTGTTCTCAGTCCACAGTTTCCCCACTGCAGGCTTTTTGGGGGATCTGTGTGATTCCAAATCTCTGTCTCCTCTAGCCAGAACCATACTTCCATGTTTACTACACTGAGAGACGGTACAGGCTTACTGCTGGCATTGGACTTTAATTTAGGATGCATGTCATCTGCTTTTCTCAGTTCATGCCAATTACAATGCTGTTATGAAATCTAATACATACATATACATGGAGAGAGGGTTTCATATATTTAAAAAAATGTGTTTCTGTCTTTATTATTGAATTTAGATACCTCCATGATAAAAGTTTAGTGATGCAGCTGTATGTTTGAGATAATATTCTTGTATTTTAGCCATCTTGTATTTGAGTAATGGAGTACAGAAGAAAGACAGAGGGAATAGAATTAGCAATTCATGAACAGTGCCTCTTGACACATTTCAGAATTAGAGATTTCATTTTCTAATGCAAAGCATCTTAACTTTAAGAGGTTTATTCCTTGTAAAGCAATTTACAAATGCTACTTAATTTAATTCTTGGAATAACTGAGTAACATCCATTTCTGTTTTGTAGCAGAGAAAAATGATGACTTTTGACATAAAGCCCAAGGTTTTGGAACTTAGAGAGTGGTTCCATTTTATTGGGTATTTCAAGACAGTTTTATTTCAGTATTTTCTATGACCTATTGTCTTTTATGCAAACAGTATACTTATGTGTTTATTCTAAATGGAATTGTAGGTTATCAAGTTATTTTTTAGTAATATTTTCTTTAAAAATATGCAAAAGTATGTTTCACTAAAGGACAATAGGTACATGTGTATCTGTGTGGCACATACGCTTTTAAAAATATTTATGGAGTGTAAGACTGTAATAGTAGTTCTGTACAGTAACTGTGAATGTTTTTTAACTTAAGCATTTATTCCTATACAAATGAACACTGTGAGATTGTTTTGATTATTATACCAATGTTTGTGTTTCACCTAGTTTATCTATAGTTCATAAAAATGTTTAAATATTACTTCATCTTTAAATTTGCTTTTCAGTATGTAAAAAGTCTGTGAACTAATTCTTGAGTATTTATGAAGTAATTATGATTTTTACAGGTGTTGTAGGCCTTTGTGTATATTTTGTTTAATTTGGAACAGGATTCTCTGCTTTTTGCTTGATTTTTCACTTTTAAAAACTATGATATAGTAAATCCAGCTCTGTGTAATAGTTTCTACTATCATCAGTTTTTGCATTCTTTTAGGTATGCAATTTCTATCTTTGGCAATGTCCAGATTAAAATACTAGAAAATTGACCACCAAGTGATTTATATTGTTGCGTGTACATCAAGCATTCCATCAGTGAGATTTTACTGTATAGAGTAATTGGATAGGCTTTTCAGCAATTTCAATTTATTAAAAAAAAAAGACTTTTGAGATTTGGTGTTCTTTTTATGGAAAGTTCTTTTCAGGGCTCGGTCATGACAGCTGGAGTGTTCTGTTGTGTGGAATTTTGAACTGAGAATGAAACAGGCAGTGGTCGCCCATTCAGAGATAATGACCAATGAACATTTAAAGTGGTAGAGATGTGTCAAATGACACCATAGCATTTTGCTCATTTGGATTTTTCTATAGGATCTTGATCAAAACATTCACTAAAGATAATTGGGCCTTACTTTAGTTGGTGTGATCTTTTTTCTAAAAACTTTTTAAATTTAAATTTAGTATTAATTTCAGTAAAAATTTACAGAGACTTTGGATTTCCATTCATTCATTGTTACACATTTCTCCCTTCCCAACCCTCCCCCCCAGAACACTACCCTCTTGGAAAAGTAAAAGAAAAATTTTCACTGTTTTACAAACCCTCCCCCCAGGTCCACTCCACCATGTAGCCTTTGCTCTAGACTCCTGTCATGACAAATATACCTAATCACATATCCCTTTTAAACAGTTTTCTCCCTCATCTGTTTCAGTGCAGTATACATTATTGAACTCATCTTTCTTAGTTTCTCCCCATCCCCAAGGTCAGTCCTGTTTTACAACAATGGCACGATGCACTATTTGTCCTTTTGTGACTGGGATACTTCACTCAGCATAATGTCCTCCAGAGTCACCTATTTTGAGTAATACTGCATGAGTTCCTTGTTTTTCAATGCAGCATAGTATTCCATTGCATGAATATACCACAGCTTCTCTACCCATTCGTTTGTTGATGGGCATTTAGGTTGTTTCCAACTCCTTGCTATTGTAAACAAAGCTGCGATAAACATGGGTGTGCATATATCTGCTTGGATGTCAATTATGGTCTCTTTGGGGTATATTCCCAGTAGTGGAATTGCTGGGTCAACTGGTATCTCTATTTGCAACTTTTTGAGAAAGCACCATACCGCCTTCCACAGTGGTTGTACCATTTTACACTCCCACCAACAGTGAATAAGGGTTCCAGTTTCTCCACAATCTCCCCAGCATTTATTGCTTGCTGTTCTATTAATTTTTACTATTCTGACTGGGGTGAGATGATATCTCATAGTTATTTTAAGTTGGTGTGACTTTTGATCACCATATACCATTAAATTCAGTAGCCCATAAACAATGATCCTCCCCGGTTTTCTGTCTATCCTTCTCGTAGTAAACACTTCTAAACTCCCATCTGCATATTACTTGTCTTCTTATATGTTGTTGTTTGTTGTTATGTGCCGTCGAGCCGTTTGCGACTCATGGTGACCCTATGTAGAACAGCCCTAAACCCTGCTCTATCCTGTGCCGATCACACTGCCTCTGACACACCCATCCCGATTACCTCAGTCACTGAATCAGTCCACCTCATAGATGGTCTTCCCCTCCTGCGCTGTCCCTTTACCCTCCCAAGCATAATGTCCCTCTCCAAGGACCTGTCTCTCCTTAGAACATGTCCAAAGTATGTCAGACGAAGCCTAAGAATCCTTGTCTCCAAGGAGTAGCCTGGTTTAACCCTCTCCAGGATGAATCTGTTTGTTTTCTTGGCAGTCCATGGTACATTCAATACTCTTCTCCAGCACCACAGCTCAAAGGCATCAATTCTCCTTCTATCCTCCTTGTCATTGTCCAACTCTCTGATGCATAACAAGTGACTGCAAAGACCATGGACTGTATCAGGTGCACCTTAGTCTCCAGAGAGACACCGTGTCCCTAACAGCAGACTTTCCCATCGCAATACGTGTTTTGGTTTCCTGGCTGCTGGTGCCAAGAGTGTTGACCGTGGAGCCGAGCAAACTGAAGCTGTGAACAATCTCAATCTCTTCGCCATCCATCCTGATGGTACCAGTTGGTCCAGTGGTGAGAATCTTTGTCTTCTTGACATTGAGCCTCAGTCCATACTGAAGGCTGCAGTCCTTGACCCTCTGCAGTAAGTGCATGAGGTCCTCCTCAGTTTCAGCAAGCAGGGTTGTGTCATCTGCATAATACAGATTGTTAATAGATCTTCCACCAATCCTGATGCCATACTTCTCCTCATAGAGCCCAGCCTCTTAGATAATCTGCTCTGCATACAGGTTGAAAAGGTATGGAGATAGGACACATCCCTGGCATACACCCTTCCCAAATATGAACCATTCAGTGTTACCCTTCTCTGTTCTGACGACTGCCTCTTAGTCCAAGTATAGGTTTTGCATTAGCACGATTAAATGTTCTGGGATTCCCATTCTTCTCAGAGTCAGTCACAGTTTGTTATGATCTACACAGTCAAAGGCATTTGCATAATCAGTGAAACACAGATAGACATTCTTCTGGTATTCCCTGCTTTCAGCTAAGATCCATCTAACATCAGCTACAATATCGCTAGTACCACGACCCCTTCTAAACCCAGCCTGGACTTCTGGCAATTCTCTGCTGATGTGCTGTTCCAGTTGTTTTTGGATAATCTTCAGTAGAATCTTGCTTGCATGTAAATGTCAGGTAGTTGGAACCAACTCATAGCTTGACCTCTTCTAGTAGGTTTTAGATGCCCAAGGTGGGGAAATTGCACACAGTAGTTAAACACAGGCCGGCTAACCAAAGAGTGGTCTGAATTCATCACCTGCTTAGTGAGAGAAGGATTAGACAGCTTACTTCTGTAAAGATTTTAGCCTGGAAGCCTGACGTGACAGTTCTGTGAGCTGGGTTCTGCTCAGCAGGGTGGTTGTTACATACTAGAATTTATGTCCACTTACTAAGGGTTTTCCTTTAAGAAGGCCTTCTTGTCCTCTCTCTCCTTAGTGCTGAGTCAGAACTGATGCACAGATGATCACTGGGTTTCGGAGGTTGTAAAGTCGCTTGGGAGGAGAGCCTCATTTTTCTTCTGTGGAACACAAGCTTGGAAGTGTGGGCCTTGAGTTAGTAGTGCAACTCCCCGTGGACCTCATTACCAGAAAAGAGGGCGGGGAAACCAAAACCAACCCCTGTATTGTTAGAGAACAGCAAAAAGATACCTTTTAAAAAAAACCAACAAAACCAAACCCTTTCCTACTGAATGTTGTTTTTCCTATATTGTTTCACTCCTACATGTGCTTCATTCATACGTGTTTCATATGATCATTTATATACATTGTATTTTATAAGGTTAATCATCATTACTTCTATTACCCAATCTTTTCAGGTTCACATTGATCTTTCCCATCCCTTCTCTCCAACCCTCATGCTCTCCTGCCTGCCCATCCACCGACCAGATTTGGTTGTTCTCGTGATTTCCCTCCCTTCCTATTTTCTACCACCTTTATAAAGAGTCAATTTGTTATTTAACTAAAAGGTGACTTCTTGTTGAGAAATTTTCAGAGGAAAATACAGTTTGACTCAAACAGCATTTAAATGACTACTTGGTAATAGATGATTTGAGGAGATTGTGTAATGTTCTACTTAAGAATTAACTCAGAGTTTCTGCTATGATTATTTTGAGAAATGCTTTATGATGTTATCACACAACGTTCTTAGAGGATGCTCATGCCACTTCTGCTCAGCAGGTAAATGATTCAAGCACTTTGGACACAGTGGGTGCTGTGGTTGTGGATCAAGAAGGGAATGTTGCTGCTGCTGTTTCCAGTGGAGGTCTGGCCTTGAAGCATCCCGGGAGAGTGGGGCAGGTAATCATCTCCAGGCTTCTCATGTTACAGCGTGGAATTTTGAAAAACATGTTTTTCTTCTACATGTATTTGTTATTGTTGTTATGTGTGACCACAACACGGAGACCCTGTGCACAGTAGCTCTGAACCCTGCTCTATACTGGGTCAGTGTCACAGTCTCTGACACTTCATCTGAAGTCTTCCTTTCCTGTATTGTCCTTCCACCCTTCCAAGTGTGCTGTTCTTCTCCAAGGACTGGACCCTCCTGGCCACATACATGCCCAAAGTATCTGAGAGATGGAGCCTCAAAATTCTTGCCTTCAAGGAACAGCTTGGCTTCACCATCTCCAGGACAGACTTAATTGTTCTCTTGGTTGTCCATGGTACATTCAGTACTTCTCCAGCACCACAACCCAGAGGCATCAGTTCTTCTGTCCTCTTTGGTCATCATCCAGCTCACTGATGTGTAACAGGTATATAATAGTAAGATAGTGTAGCACAGTAAGATACTAAAACGTAGAAAGCTAGGTGTTCTTTGTTCCCAGCTTTAGTGCACTCCCTAATCCGTAAAAGAGAGCTTCTAAAGGGTAACAGGCCCTTTGCGTAGGGATGCTTTTTTCTCCACCGATGGTGGCTAATGCTCTTAAATTTTGGTGCAGCTTTTCCCCCCCCTTTCAATAGTCTATTTAGAGATCCTTGTACTTTGTTGTTACAGATCTCCCTAATTATTATTTTTAAACATTTATTGTGATGATTTCCATGTATTGTTATATAAACATTTATTTAGCCATTTCTTTACTGGATGACATTTAGTTTGTTGCTGATTTTTCATTCTTACCAGTGTTGTGGTATGAGAATGCTCTAGTTAGGGCTTCTTGTATTTTTAAAGCTTGCTAAGGACTTTTCTGCTTGTAATTAAGAAGTGGAGAAATTATTGGTTGTTGTTTGACTTTGAAAGGCAGACAAGTCTCTATTGATAGTGAAGAGTTGGATCCAGACATTCTTTGGTAGCATTACTGGAAACAAAATAAGAATGATTGTCATATTCTTTTATGAAACCATAGTAGCTTACTGTGTCCCTTTTGGCACAAGCATGTAAGTCCATCGTGCCACCTAACAAACTCAATTTTAGTTTAACCAGGCTTTTTTGCCTTTTGTTTTTTCATCTGTCAGACTCTTCCTCAGTGGTGAGCAAAACTCAGGCCTTGAGGTCACTGTCTGTCTTCAGATCTTACTGTGACACCCCAAAGAAGTCATGCATAACAAAACAGTTCCCTAGAGCACAACAGTAAGACCATCTGCATGCTGATCTCCAGGAGCCCTGGGTAATAATGCAGGTTCCCAAGTCTCTTCTCAGTCCTGCCAAGCCAGAAATTCAGCATCAGGGTTCTCACTACTTTAAGGCCAAAACATTGATGTCAAGGGCACAGTGTGGAAAAATTATTGCCAATGTTCTTTTGCCCCTTTAGGAAAATACTTAAATTTTCAGAATATCTGAAAGTAGAGATTTGATTAACTTCAGAACCATCGTTTGAGTGGACACTACGTATTTTTTTGGTATTATTGCCAGCTATTTGCACTCTTCCTGGATGATACATTTGGCATCCTCCCACAACTCATCTGGTCTTTGCTCATTAGTGTTCAAGGCCTCAAACCTGTTCCTGAGATGATTCTGAAATTCCGGTGGGATGAAATCAAAGTCATATTTTGGCTTCTGTGGATTCGGTTTAATTTTCTTCAGAAGAAACTTTGAAGATTGCACTGGAGCGTAGAGAAGCCAAAGCACAAGGAAGAATTCAAGATACTAAAGAGCTGAACAGAAGATTCCAAAA